GAAGGACAAAGGTTGATAACCGAAAACGTTTGCTCACTATTAAATAAATATATACCTGGCAACTTATTACCTTCTCTCCGGAGTTTTTTTATATATATAGACAATGAAAGCATCTCTCCGAAAAAAGGACCAAATATCGTAAACTACAAGTACGTAACTTAGTAACAAACAAAATTCGGAAAGCAAAATCAAATTATTTTGATAATTTTGAAAATAAAACTCTAAAAAAATTATTGGAGGAATTAGGTAGAACCATAGGGAAGATAAAAATTGAAATAGTGTTCACCCTGACTTTAATGAAAGTGAAAGTTTTAATCATTTTTTCTCTAATATTGAAAAGGAAATTTCTTAATCTTTTGAAAGTATTACTACTCCTGAATGGAAACATCCTTTATGTATCCGCAAATTAAATTTTTAACATGGTAACTTTGAAGATAATGAAAATGCCCTTTATGGTCTCTCCGAAAGCAGTAATTTGGAAATTTTGAATTTTATTAGGATTTCCTCCCCGTATATTGCAAAAACTCTTACCTTTATAATATATTTGTCTATTAATCTGAGGATTGGAAACTCGCAAAAACAACACCAATCTATAAATGGAATGGCTGTAAGCAGACAATGAGTAATTATAGACGCATCTCTGTGGTTTGCCATATTGTTAAAAGAGAGATACAAAATCAATTAGTTAATTATTTAAACGAAAATGATCTCATAAATGCCTTCAGAAAAACCACTCCACCATCACATGCCTTCATCGAGTTATAGATGAATGGATGGAAACTTTAAATGACCATAAAATGATTGAAGCCTGATTTCTCGACCTATCTAAATGCTTTGACACTATTGACCATTACACTTCACCTAACTAAATTAGAACATTATGGCATTAAGGATATTGAAATTAAATGGTTTAAAAGTTATCTTTCACAAGTAGTAAAATGTCATAATAAATTATCTGGAAAAGCAAATGTTGAAATTGGCATCATACAGATTAGTGTCTTAGGCCCAAATCTTATTTTCATTATTCATAAATCACCTTTCTAAATATGTATCTCCAGGATCTTGTAGCATATTTGCAGATGATGTTGTCATATACCCATAAATCAGTAGATGATATCAATATCAAACTACAAATCGATAATGAATAATGTCTTAAATTGGTTTAAATTTAATAATTTACTTGTGAAATCTAGCATCAAACTTATGTTAATTAAAAATAGAATATGTTCGCCCTTTTTCCTCGAAAACTATTGGATACAAAATTAACATCCTAAATAAATTGGCAGAAACAGTAAATGAATCTCTTTTAAATATTCTTTATAAAAGTACAATACAACCCTGCATGGACTATACAATGTCAGTTTGTAGAACTACGTCCGGAGGGGTTAGTTTTACCATTGTGTAGTCAAGTTTTGTAGTTAAGTTAAAATTGTAATTCCGGCCCCGAAACATTGACTCAGAAATACTGGGAATCGATGGTGTCCGGCGGGGGACAGTTTTTACCATTGTTTAGTTGTTAAGTTAAAATATGCAATCCCAGCCGAAGTACCGGGATGGTGTCCGGCGGTGGATAGTTTTTACTATTTTTATTTTAGTCATTGTACTTGTCTTACCTTGTAATTCCGACCCCGCCGAAACCTTGACTCAGTAGTACAGGGGTCGGTGTCCGGCGGGGGATAAGTTTTTACCATATTGTAGCTAAGTGATGTAGTTTTACAGTAATTCCTGGCCCCGAAACTCAGAAATACCGGGTTGGTGTCCGCGGCGGGGGATAGTTTTCAACCGAAGTTTTTACCATTTGTATTTTACATTGTTTTGTTCTGCTTGCCTTATTGTTTGTTGTTATTGTACTGCGTTTGTGCAGAACCATATTGTAAAACAGCGTGAAGATCTGTATACGTTATCCTGCCTAAAGATGTTTTATAT